TGTTAATAAAATGTATATATATATATATATATATATATATATATATAGAGAGAGAGAGAGAGAGAGAGAGAGAGAGAGAGAGAGAGAGAGAGAGAGAGAGAGAGAGAGAGAGAGAGAGAGAGAGAGAGAGAGAGAGAGAGAGAGAGAGAGAGAGAGAGAGAGAGAGAGAGAGATAGAGATAGATAGATAGATAGAAAGTCATTTATAAATAAATAAATGTATAAAACAGTCTACATCATTAAAACAAACAAACAAACAACGATATTTGAAAAAAATATTTGACATATGACATATTTCAAATTGTCAAATGTCAAAATGTGGTACAAGAATTATATATACATTTTTTGTAAGCTATTTACGTTGGGTATCCCTGGTTCTGTAAAGGTTGAAACCCCCTGGATTAATGTTCATAAAACCATTAATATTAATTCAGCTCTTCTATTTGTTTCAAATGCTTCCTGGGGTCTATTTTAAGGTCTTCTATTAACTATTAACTTTATTACGATAAATATAGGTTAATTTAGTAACTAACCCAAGCAAAAGTCATATCACCTTTAAGTCATGCGCTATCCGTGACAGTTCAACCCCGGTGCAAGATTGTAATTGTAGTACGAAATGGAACATTCTCTTGATTTCCTAGTATATTAACAGCTAGCTTACAAAACTACATTACCCATCATTCCTCGCACCAACGTCCTCTACTCGCATCCTGTCCGGTGACGATAGCGGGCGGCTACAGAACCAAACCCAGTCTGAGGCTGCTATATTTCGTAATTAAATCAATTAAACATTGATTGAAATAACTCAGACCACCGTGAACGATAAATACCGAGCACAATGGTAAGTGTAGATGCCTATTTTTGCTTGTTACGATCACTTATTTTGATTAGTTCGACTGTCTGTTCTTTTCAGCTAACAGGCTAGTGTGATATGTCGATTATAACAACACGACCAAGGTCATAAATCAAACTATATAGACATACTGACTATAATATCCAGAAGAAAAAAATTAATCAGCCTTTCATTATTCTATTTCGGGTCAGAATAGGAAATAACACTGAATGAAGCTATGCTCATGGCTAGTTATTTGATGCAAGCTCTGTTTAATTTCTCTATTATATATCAATAATGTCTTTTCATATAAATAATACAGTACACAATACATCTCTAATGGCAGCTCATGCATATTTAGCTATTAAAATAGTTCAATGCGTTGTCATTATTAATACAAAAAGCATGTGACATGTCAGGTTAATGCCTCTGTGAATGATTTTGGATGATTTGTGAGAATTAGGTCTAAACTTTTCTCCTGTTGTTCTTGTGCAGATTCGCTTTATCCTCATCCAGAATCGTGCAGGGAAAACCAGGTTGGCCAAGTGGTACATGCAGTTTGATGATGATGAGAAGCAGAAGCTGATTGAAGAGGTTCATGCCGTAGTGACAGTCCGTGATGCCAAACACACCAACTTTGTAGAGGTACAACACTTACTTTTAACATGTTATACTTGCTGTGGTTCAGAGGTCAGTATGAATTACTCAGCATTGTCCTTTGCATCAAAAAGTTAGAAGTAATCCGTTTTATCATTTTTGAAATATGTATCCGTATGGGATTGGTAAAAACGTCATCACACATGTCACCTTCAATAAATACCACGACTGAGGTGCCCTTGAGCAAGGCACCGAACCCCCAACTGCTCCCCGGGCGCCGCAGCATAAATGGCTGCCCACTGCTCCGTGTTAACGGTGTGTGTGTGTTCACTGCTGTGTGTGTGCACTTTGGATGGGTTAAATGCAGAGCACTAATTCCAAGTATGGGTTACCATACTTGGCCACATGTCACTTCACTTTAAAAATGTGTTGTTTTAAAGGTCTTATCTAGGAAATGTACAGATAAAGGTGTTTATATGTGGTCTTACATGTTATACATTGTATTCCTCTGCAGTTCAGAAACTTCAAGATCATTTATAGGCGATACGCTGGCCTGTACTTCTGCATCTGTGTGGATGTGACAGACAATAACCTGGCTTACCTGGAAGCTATTCACAACTTTGTTGAGGTAAATGAGGAGCTAGCTTAAAGGAATAGTTCACCCAAAAATGAAAATTAGCTGAAAATTTACTCACCCTTAGGCCATCCAAGATGTAGATGAGTTTGTTTCTTCATTGGAACAGATTAGGAGAAATGCATTATTACATCACTTGCTCACCAATGGATCTTTTGCAGTGAATGGGTGCCGTCAGAATGCGAGTCCAAACAGCTGATAAAAACATCACAATAATCCACAAGTAATCCACTCAACTCCAGTCCATCAGTTAACATCTTGTGAAGCAAAAAGCTGCGTGTTTGTAGTAAACAAATCCATCATTATGGTGTTGTAAACAATGCTTGATCTGTGCATGTTTTTCTCCTGATTCAGATGAGAGAACTTTTTCACTGGAGAAATCAATATTATGGATAGAGGACTCGTATTTTAAGTTAAAAATGTGTTAATGATGAATTTGTTTATTACAAACGTGCACTTAATACATACACATTAATTGATGGACTGGAGTGGTGTGGATTATTGTGATGTTTTTATCAGCTGTTTAGACTCTCATTCTGATGGCACCCATTCACTGCAGAGGATCCATTGGTGAGCAAGTGATGCAATGCTACATTTCTTCAAAACGGTTTAGATGGAGAAACAAACTCAATTCTATCTTGGATGTCATGAGGGCGAGTAAATTTATTTAAATGAATATACATATACTTATATATATATATATATATATATATATAATATATTAAGCTCCCACCAAATAACATCATCTAATGTGTTCTGCATTCAATTGAGCAGCTAAATGGTGTAATCAGCACGCTTCCTGAACACTGACTTGATTACGCTGCACAGAATCCATAATTAAAAACCTCTCTTATATGCACTTTTATTAACCGTAAATCAAAATGAGATATGCTGACTTTTAAGGGAAGTGTGGGCTGTTAGCTTTGAAACGTCAGGAGATTAACTTTAATGAAGGTCTTTAATGTTCAGCATGATAAATGTGCTTTGCATTGGTTTTTAAAAGGATTGCCTGCTTGTTCTTCCTCAAATAACGCAAATATCAGCATAAGCTCTTATTCATTAAAAGAAATACTGTAAGATTGGGTATGGGCGATATATCTTGATATTTATATATTTGCTCTGAAATAGCTTTAAGAGTAATTCACCCCCCAAACCTCCAATAAGAAGAATCGTTATTTTGACCAAACAGACACCGTTATCAAGCAGATTCAAAATGCTTAAAGTATGTTAAAAATAGAAAAATTGAGAGCAATCAAGCATGTTTTCCACGCTTTTATTTCTATTAAATGGAAACAAGGGAGAATCATTTTATTTATGTGTCCCAGTACATCATAAACACGGCAATATTTATCTGTATATTATCTAGAAGATTTTAAAGCATTTAAAATGCTACACAGGGAACGTGATGACACTGATCATTGAATCATTTGAAATGTATCTAATTTTCCAGCTTTATAGTTTTTGCAATTGATATTTAAAGGGGTGGTTGACTGTTTATGGGGTGCAGTCTAACATGTTAAAGGGTTAGTTCACCCAAAAATTTAAATTAGCCCATAAATTACTCACCCTCAAGTCATCCTAGGTGTATATGACTTTCTTCTTTCAGACGAATCCAGTCGGAGTTATATTAAAAATTGTATTTGATCTTTCAAGCTCTATTGTTGTACTCAGCGGGTGTTGCAGTGCTTCGGTTCAAATGACGGGAAATAAAAAGCACCCTTCCACAAAAAAAAGTGTCTCACACGGCTCCGGGGGGTGAACAAAGGCCTCCTGTAGCGAATCGATGCGTTTTTGTAAGAAAAATATCCATATTCAAACGTAATAATCACTTGAATCTAGCTCGCGCCAGCAGTTGTACACAGAAGCAGTTCAGGGAGCATGACGTATGAGGTCAGCGTTGCGCATGCGCCGGTGCGTCTCGTGAAAACCAACGTTTGTTTACAGGA